GACTTTGTCTCAAGAAAGAAAAAAAAAAGACTTAGAGGCTTTAAGCACTGAGAGATTATGTCAGCTATCTAATTAAACAAAAGAAATAATAAACACTCATCTGTAACATGAAGATTGGGATGCCCAACAAAGTACTTATTGCTTTTCCAATAATTACTTTAATATTTGTTCATTTAAAAAATTAATTTGTATTTATTGAGGTATAATTTATACATAAGAAATTTATAAATCTTAAAATGTACAGCTTCATTTTACATATGAATACATACACCCATGTCAAGATATAGAACATTTCCAATTATCTAGCACCTTGGAAGTCTCCTAGGGAAGTCAATACTACCATGCCCCTAACCTTTATCACCATACAGTAGTTTTACCTGTTTTTTATTTATTTTTTTTTTTGAGGCATAGTCTCACTCTGTTGCCTGGGTAGAGGGGCAGTGGTGTCAACATAGCTCACTGCAATCTCAAACTCCTGGGCTCAAGCCATCCTCCTGCCTCAGCCTCCCTAGTGTGCCACCATATCTGGCTAATTTTTTTTTTAGTAGAGACGGGGTCTCACTCTTGTTCAGGCTGGTCTCAAACTCCTGACCTCAAGTGATTTTCCCGCCTCACCTCTCAGAGTTTTGCCTGTTTTTGAACTTCACATAAACAGCATGAATTCATTTTTGTTTATTGTCTTTTGCTCAACATTAAACTAACGTCAACTATTAAATTCACCCATATGTGGCAGTAATTTGTTCATTTTCATTGTTGTATAGCAGAGCAGTATATTAATATATTACATTCTTGTACATGCTTTTTATTGGACATAAACAATCATTTCTGTCTGGAATATATGCAGGAGTGGAATTGCTGGGTCATAGGATACACCCAATGTTTATTTTTAAAATGGCAAATTTATTCAAAGTATTTTTGGGATGGCCCTGTTTTGTTGGTACCTGGTACTGTTCTAAATGCTTTACATTCATGAACTCTTTTAATTCTTACAACAGCCCCACAAAGTAGCTACTATTATTACTCTTGCTTTACCATTGAGGAAGCAGAGACCCTTTGAGATTAGGTAATCTGTCAGTGGTCATAGATCTGGTAAACAAACCCAGAGAGTCAGGCTGCAGAATTTGGGCTCTTAATCAGTAAGCTATTCTGCCTCTGTATTAATCAGGGTGCTCCAAAGAAACAGAATCAATTGGAGATTATATATATATATAAATATATATTTATTATGAGGGATTGGCTCACTTAATCATTGAGGCTGAGAAGTTCCGCAGTCTGCTGTCTGCATGCCGTAGAACCAGGAAAGCTGGTGGTTTAATTCCAGTCCAAATCAGAAGGTCAGAGAACCAGGGCAGCTAATGATGTAAGTCACAGTCTGAATCCAAAGATCCAAGAAGGAAGGGCTAATGGCATGAGTCCTGGTCTGAGTCTAAAGGCCCCAAGACCATGAGCAGCAATGTCCAAGGACTGGAGAAGATGGATGTCCATCAGGCAGAGAGCAAACTTGCCCTTCCTCCACCATTTGCTCTTTGTTGAGGCCCTTAATGGACTGGATAATGCCCACCTGAATTGGTAAGGGTGATTGGAAACATCCTCACAGACACACTCAGAATTGTTTTACTAGCTAGCTGGTCTCATTCAAGTTGACACATAAAATTAACCTTCACAACCTCCTAATCCAGCTTTGGGGCCTCTCAGGTTCCTGGCCTTATACTAAGATCTTTACATTTATTCTAACAACTCCATTATGGGAGGGTATGTTATTTTTATTTAATTGATGAGCTGTTATTATATCTTCCATCATTCTGTCTATCATAGTCTACTATTTATGTTTGACAGAGTAGTGTTGATTAATGATAAATATTTTAGAAAAGAAAATACTAATTCTGTAAGAGTATTGTTTTACTTATTCATGCCAAAAACATTTAGCTATTAAGAGGCAGGTAGAAGGAATCATGAAGTCTCTCTCTCTCCCTCCTTTTTTTTTTTTTTTTTTTTTTGAGACAGGGTCTGGTTTTGTTACCCAGACTAGAGTGCAGTGGTGCCATTATAGCTCACTGTAACCTCAAACTCCTGGGCTCAAGTGATCTTCCTGCCTCAGCCTCCTGAGTAGCTGGAACCACAGGCACACACCACCATGCCTGGCTAATTTTTCTATTTTTCGTGGAGATAGGGTTTCACTATATTGCTAGGCTGGTGTCAAATTCCTGGCTTCTAGCAATCCTCCCCTTGGCCTTCCAAAGTGATGGGATTACAGGTGTGAGCCACTGTGCCTGGAAGACATGATCTCTCCCATGAGGTGGTTACAGAAAGGTGAGAACAACTTTAGCCTTTAAAGAACAACTTAAAGCCCAGTACAAAGTGTTAAGTGCTATTGTCAGGATGTGAACAGAGATATGGGCACACCAAGGCTGTTTGTGTGGGAGAGTGAAGGCCTCATTTATTAAGGTTTTGTATGGAATCTAAAGTATTAAATCTTTCTTCCTTTCTTGCCTTTTGTCTCTTTCTTTCTTTTGGAAGAAAGCAAGGCTGGATAAATTAAATGACTTCATTAAACACAACATCTAGTTAGTGAAAGAATATGAATAAGGTGAAAAGCATGTTCCTTGAGTCAGGCAGACCTGGGTTCTAATCATGTCTTAAGTGGTTCTCTGACCTTAGACAAGTGCTTGAATCCCTCTGAGCCTCAGTTTATCTGTGAAACACACAATTATATCTACTTTGTAGGTAGCCACTAGCATAGGGTTTATCACATAGTAAGGGTTCAACCTTACGGTAATTTTCCTTTACCCTCCTCATAGCACAAGGCATTGTGATAGAAGTAAAAAGATCAGAGGTCAAAGAGAAAGGAAGGTCAGCTGGTCCCTCAAGCAGGGCCTCTCAGGGTGCTAGGATTATGGAGGGGTCCCTATTATCTGGATTTTGTTCTCAGTACTGTAAGTCTGAAAAGTTGACACTTATCAGAACATCCAGAATTGATTGGCTTCTTGGGAAACGACCCATGCTAATAAAATATACAAGAAATTTATGAATAGTCTAGAATGCAAACTCATCAACTTCTAGCAATAGATATATATTTCTATAACTGGCTCCCTTCTCACTCTCATATTTTTATCTTGAAATAAAATAATCAGAAAGTTGTTAACTGAACACAAAATCTGAATAAAGAGACTTAGATAAGTCTTCAGAATTATTTCACCCAGGCTGTGAGAAAAGCCTAATGCTTTCATAACCAAGGATTCTTCTCTAGTAGCCCAAAACCTTTTGGTCTACCAGATCTATGCTCTTCATATTGGAGAAACACAACATATTCCTACAATAATTACCACCTGTTTGGACTTTATGCAGACCACATCTTTCTGTTAACACATTCGTCTTCTCAAATGATATAATCAAATGGGTTAGACCTATCTTCTGATACATTCTATTATTGAGGAAACATTCCCATCACCTCCAATTGGACTTGCATGTCTCCCTAATCTATAACAGTTTTCTTACCAGGAGTAATCTCTACACAATACTGATATCAACTAATTTAACTCTCAGAGCTCAACAGATTCCCTCCATTTCTGGAGATGTTTCATCACAGACTTGTTTGTACTAATCTCAATCATCTGTATACCCATTGCCCAATAATAGCAAGCACCCAATAAATGTCGGTTGAATAAAAGGTGAGGTCAAAAGAAAATCAGAAAAGGGCTCAATGAATGCAATTTTTTTTTTTTTTTTTTTTTTTTGGAGACAGAGTCTCACTTTGTTGCCCAGGCTAGAGTGAGTGTCATGGCGTCAGCCTTCTTTAAAAAAACACTGGCTACAACTATTAAACATTCTGCTGTTTTCTCCACTTGCCTATGTAAATGAAAGCAACTTTTTTTTTTTTTTATATATTTTTAGTTGGCCAATTAATTTCTTTCTATTTATAGTAGAGACGAGGTCTCGTTCTTGCTCAGGCTGGTTTTGAACTCCTGACCTCCAGCAATCCGCCCGCCTCGGCCTCCCAGAGTGCTAGAATTACAGGCGTGAGCCACCGCGCCCGGCCAATGAATGCAATTTAAGTCGATTCTTTATAGCACTGTACTTCCTATCCTTATGGGACACTAAGGAAAGGGTGAAAATGGTATGGGGAATGTAGAACTATGGCTGGGAAGTTGGGGAGGAAGAAACGGAAGAACTTTCAGGAAAGGAAGGCGGGTGGAGGATCCTGCAAATGATCAGTGCCTTCAGGTAGTTAGTTGCCATTGAGGGGCTGGTGCTGAAATCTAAATGACCAAAAATGAGGTAAACAAAGGGAGCATGGAGAAAAACACCTGAAGAAACGTTAAAGAAGGAACTGACTGGATATGCTGTTGAGACGAAGGGAAGAGTAGAGCAGATTCTGGCTTAGGTACCTGGAAGTTTGTTGGTTCAATTCAGGGAAAGGAGGGTGGGGGTTGTTTGCATGAGTTTGCGTCTGGATAGGGTGAGGTTGCGTTTGAGGTGCCTGTTGGGACAAATGAATAGAGGTATCCAGTAAACAATCAAGTACAAAGGTATGAGCTTCTGAAACAGATCTGGACGTTAGTCTAAAGCAGGGAAGTAAGACTCTTCGGGAAGAGTGAAGAATTGGAGATGCGGAAGCCGAGTCCAGCTGGACTAGCTGACATAGGGATGAGCAGAGGAACGCGAGCAGGGTAAGGAAAGTCGTAAAGGTCAGAAGAAAAACAGAGGGCGACATTTTGAAAGACAATGGAGCAAATTTCAAGGTGACATCGGACGCCTCCTGGAGGTCAAAAGGAGGCTGACAAACCTAGCCTTAGTCAAACCCGATTCAGAGAAGCGCAGGCGGGTGCGGGTGGGAGTGGGGGTGGGGCGAAGCCCCTCTGCAGCTAGCGACTAAACTGAGTAGGGAGGCAGTCTTAATAGTAGATATATTTTAAGGGAGTTTGGCTGTGACCCGGCAGAAAGAGCGGGACTTGGAGGGTAATTTAGGGCTCAAGGGGATCATCGGTTTCAGAATCCCATACCCTCGAGTGGGAGTAACTCTCCGTCTACTTGATGTCCTCTGCATTCCTTCAGGGTCCTCCTCGGGATTTCCCCTGCTCTAAGCTAGGAGAAAACAAAACAAAACGCCCTATAAAGTGCCAACAAGTGAAAAAGAAACCGTTTCACTTCAAAGCCTTCTCCCTTTAAAATTCCTGGCATGCAAATAAGGGGTTTCAATGTGGCTGTCAGCGATTGGTAGGTACTTATAAAACCGTCATTTCCTTTTAGTGCAGGATGCAAACCAAGAGTCTGCTTTCTGCTTTGCTATTGGCTGTTTGAACTGACTTCGCTTTTAGCCAATCAAATCAGTTCCCTCACCCCTCCCCGTAGCTCTTATAAATTACATCAAATTGGTTATCCTTTCCACATCCTTCTCCTTGAAAAAGAAGCTGTAACTGCATTTTTATCCGTAATGTCGGGACGCGGAAAGCAAGGAGGCAAAGCCCGCGCCAAGGCCAAGTCGCGCTCGTCCCGCGCCGGCCTTCAGTTCCCGGTGGGGCGAGTGCACCGCTTGCTGCGCAAGGGCAACTACGCCGAGCGGGTGGGGGCCGGCGCGCCGGTGTACTTGGCAGCTGTGATCGAATACCTGACGGCGGAAATCCTGGAGCTGGCAGGGAACGCGGCCCGAGACAACAAGAAGACGCGTATTATCCCTCGCCATCTGCAACTAGCCGTGAGAAATGACGAAGAGCTCAACAAGTTACTTGGGGGTGTCACCATTGCCCAGGGCGGCGTCTTGCCCAATATCCAGGCTGTCCTGTTGCCCAAGAAAACGGAGAGTCACAAGCCTGGCAAGAACAAGTAATAATTAGGAGGCTTGACACCATACCCACTCACTCCAAAGGCTCTTTTAAGAGCCACCAAAGTGTCAAGTGAAGGGCTGATCACAAAACAGCGCATTAGCTCTTTCTTTGAAAACTTGGGTGGCTCTAAAAAGAGCCTTTGGTCTTTGGTTTACTTTCTCTGGGTTTATTTGCTTTTGGCTTTGTGGCTTTCAGTTTTCTTTGGTAACAGAACGGCCTGGATGTTAGGCAAGACGCCGCCCTGGGCGATGGTGACCTTGCCCAGCAGCTTATTCAGCTCCTCGTCGTTGCGGATGGCCAGCTGGAGGTGACGGGGGATGATGCGCGTCTTCTTGTTGTCTCGGGCCGCGTTGCCCGCCAGCTCCAGGATTTCCGCGGTCAAGTACTCGAGGACCGCCGCCATGTAGACGGGCGCGCCGGCCCCCACCCGCTCGGCGTAGTTGCCCTTGCGCAGCAAGCGGTGCACTCGCCCCACCGGGAACTGAAGGCCAGCGCGGGACGAGCGCGACTTGGCCTTAGCGCGGGCTTTGCCTCCCTGTTTGCCACGACCAGACATAATTGATATCGAGGTTAAGAAACAGACAAAGCTCAGCACCTCACAACAAAACAAGATTGAAAGAGAACCAAGAAGAAACCCTTTATAAGCTCTTCTAGGGGTGGGGTCAGGAACGAGTTTTCCATTGGTCCTAATTTGGCTCCAGAAACGGCCAATCAGATTAAGAGTTGGTGTTGTTACGTAGGTGTTGCTGAAAACGCAAGGTCCCTACATGGACCAATAGAAATGAAGGACTTTTGGAGCCCTAATTTGCATAAGGTGGTTATAAAAGGATCAGGCCCGCCCATTCTCATACTTCTTTTCTTTGCAAAGCTGTACTTCTGTTTCGTGTTGTCATCATGCCTGAACCGGCAAAGTCCGCTCCGGCTCCCAAGAAGGGCTCCAAGAAAGCCGTCACGAAAGCCCAGAAGAAGGATGGCAAGAAGCGCAAGCGCAGCCGCAAGGAGAGCTACTCCATCTACGTGTACAAGGTGCTGAAGCAGGTCCACCCCGACACCGGCATCTCGTCCAAGGCCATGGGCATCATGAACTCGTTCGTCAACGACATCTTCGAGCGCATCGCCGGCGAGGCGTCCCGCCTGGCGCATTACAACAAGCGCTCCACCATCACGTCCCGCGAGATCCAGACGGCCGTGCGCCTGCTGCTGCCCGGCGAGCTGGCCAAGCACGCCGTGTCCGAGGGCACCAAGGCGGTCACCAAGTACACCAGCTCCAAGTGAGTCCCTGCCGGGACGCGGCGCTCGCTCGCGCGAGTGGCCGGCCTCCTGACTCCAAAGGCTCTTTTCAGAGCCACCCACCTAATCACCAGAAAAGAGCTTTATTCACTTGTGTACCTTTTAGTTCCTTCTCACGTATTAAGACATTCTAGTTTAACACATAGCTTTTTTGACCATTTGAAACTCGGTTTCAGCCACAGGATTGGATTTATTTTTTAGTCTACCGTGAGTCTTTACTCCTTATTGTGCTGCTTAGCTTTCACAGGAGTCGATTCTAAATTAGGGTGTTGGTTGTACTGCCCCTCTCCACCCCTGCCCCACACTGTTAGTGTCCTGTTGCCTTTTGTTGGGTATGTTTTATATTAAAAGTGAAGTGACAATTCTGCCATAATTTAAGAGAGGACTCCAGGGCATAACGACCCGGGTGCCGCGAACACTGCGTGACAGCTCTGTAAGGCTGAAGCTTGGCGGCAGCTCGTGTGTAGGGTCACCAGTTCTGCGCTGCGACTGAGCGTCCTGTGAATACCAGCGGTTCCGCGTACCTTGGGCGGGGCCTGGTTAGCCGAGTCCCAGCCTTTTTCTGATTGGACAACATGAATATTTAAAATTCTCCCGCTTCATTAATTCGTGGATTTCAGTTTCCGCCGTTCACTTTGAGGCTTTGAAATCCCTATCATTTCTTGGTATATAATTTTTGTATTTAATGCTTTCTGCTTGTAATGCTCCGGTCCCAGGTCGCTGCAAGGCTCTTGCCACTTAGATCTGGGCTCAAAAGTCACCTCTCAGGGGCCTTCCCACGTCATCCACTCAGAAATTGGTGCCTCTAGTTAATGCTCGTCTCATTGTTTTTATTTTCCTCCTAGCAACTGTCTGAAACTGGTTCGTTTGCTTTCTTTTTTTTTTTTCTGGAATACCTGGTTTATTGGGAAAAATTCATAATGAAAACTTCAAGTGCTTATTCTGCAACTTACAAAATAAAAATTTGATATATAAAATGAGTTAGTTTTCATTATGTAAGTATAAATGGTAAAAAAAAAAAATCCATCAGATATATATGTGCCATTCAGAGAAACTCACATCCCTGATTCTTTTGCATGTTTTACATCAGACATTTTAAATCTGTTTACCAAGGAAGACCAGGTCTATCAGAAGCTATGTCTATGTAATTTAGAGCCCAGTTAAACCTGGTATTTAAAAAAAATCAAACCAATTTTTCTTAGGCTGTTTTATTTTATTTTATTTTATTTTATTTTTTTGAGACAGAGTCTCACTCTTGCCCAGGCTAGATTGAGTGCTGTGGTGTCAGCCTAGCTCACAGCAACCTCAAACTCTTGGGCTCAAGCAATCCTGCTGCCTCAGCCTCCCAAGTAGCTGGGACTACAGGCATGTGCCACCATGCCCAGCTAATTTTTTCTGTATATATTAGTTGGCCAATTAATTTCTTTCTATCTGTAGTAGAGATGGAGTCTCACTCTTGCTCAGGCTGGTTTGGAACTCCTGACCTTGAGTGATCCACCGGCCTCGGCCTCCCAGAGTGCTAGAATTATAGGCGTGAGCCAGCACACCCGGCCACTTAGGCTGTTTTAATGGGACTTTAGTGATAGGAATGGCTCTCCTAACACTTTACTACACAACTAATCAGATCTATCAGTCATGAGAAATTAGACCCCCATCCATCTTTCAATCCTGTCAACTCTGGTTCTGAACATATAGACACAAAGCAGAATAGTTTTTATTAATACAGCATTTTCCCACACCTTAACCCTATAAAGAACTTTAAAAGAAAATTTCATCTTAACATTTCACTACTTATGAAGGCCTTGCTACTGTAACATATCAAGTCAACACGATGCTTAGCAAAAATTTAATTATTCAGGCTATTGACTAGAAATTTTTACAAACGATACACATTTAGGAAACTATTTTGCTTCTTTAAATAGCTGAAGGCTTGAATTTTTTTTTTTTTTTTTTTTTGCAGTTCCTTTAGTCACTGGTCATTGACAATTTTTACCAATTATATCCCTTGTCTCCTTAGCCCTAATAGAACCAGTCCATTCTGTGTGCAAATAACAAAAATTTGATCAGATTATTAAAGCTTGGAAGCCTTCCCATTTTTACCTTCTCAAATGGTAAGTTTCATGTTCATATTCTCTTACAAATGCAAGATAGATGTTATGGGGGGATATGCAGAAATTTTGGCATAGTACAGATAATAAGTAAAAAGAAATGTTTTATCATAAAAGATGAATATGAAACCATAACACTACTTAAGAAATATTTTCTCCTAAATTATTTAGGCATTTTTGACTAGTTTAATAGTATGAACACTGCAAAAAAAAAAAAAAATAGGTACAACGTAGCCTGGGGAAATAGTTTCTTCCTCTATAATCCCTCTCAGCTGCAGCGATTTCCTTCCGCTCTCGTTCCCACCTTAGGCGGATGTGTAGAAGTACCTGGGCTTGGCGTTGCCCAGGAGGTCGTCTTCGTAGTTGGGGAGGCAGCAAAAGAAGAAGGCACAACCGATCAGGATAACTGTGGCCGCCCACCCGAAGCCGTAGGCCCAGTTATAGATGTAAGTGACAGCAGGATTGGCATGAAGGTTGAAGGTCTGGGTGTACTTCACGGGGTAAATGACGAGGGAGATGATCTGGAACACAGCCGCCAGGGCGAGGAGGCCTCCGATCACTCTTAGGAAGACAAGCATCTGAGGTCCGCAGAGGGCAAAGAAGGAGAGGATGAAGCAGATCACCAGGATGATGAAGCCACAGAAGAGCGTGGCGGCGGCTGCTCTTCCCCACGCGTAGACCATGAGGCTCTCGCAGCCTTGCTCTGGGGACCCGCTGCCGCCGCGCTCTCCGGGGCATCTCCACCACAGCGAGGACGTCTGGATGTGGGTGCTCGACTGCAGCCAGCCGCGGCCAGACAGCGCGACGATGTCGAAGGCGATGGCGCTGAGCAGGAGCAGCGGCAGGATCCACCGGCAGCGCTCGCAGACCAGGCCGCAGCGCAGCATGTCGACGGTCGCGGCACAGAGCAGAGGAGCGCGCGAGGCACCGGCGGCTACCAAGAGTGGCCCGCTAGCGCGGGCGCCCAGACAAAAGGGAAGAGGCAGCTGGGAGGTGGCTCCCGAGAGGACGCCGCTCTAGGCGGTCGCAACCTAGATTCGGGTGACTCAGAGCGCACCCGCCCAGACCTGCCGGGCAGGGCCGGACGCCTGGTGTTTTCCTCTCAAGCTCGTGACAGACTTTGCTGGTCTGGTTTTCTGCCCTATTTTCAGCGCCAATCTGTGCCTGGCACATAGTGGACACTAAATACTACTTATTGAATTTATATTGTTGGATTAATTTTTTTCTATCCCAACTTTTTTTTTTTTTGAGACAGGGTCTTGCTCTGTCACCTGAGCTATAGTGCAGTGGCATCATCATAGCTCACAGCAACCTCAAACGCCTGGGCTCAAGCGATCCTCCTGCCTCAGCCTCTCAAGGAGTTGGGACTACAGCCGCCACGCTCGTCTAATTTTTCTATTTTATTTTGTGGGGACGGGGGTCTTGCTCTTGCTCAGACTGGTTTGGCACTCCAGACCTCAAGCTATCCTTCCTCCCTAGCCTCCCAGAGTGCTAGGATTACAGGCATGAGCCACCGCTCCAGGCCTCACTTGTTTCTTAACCGCTTTTGTGGATGGTTGGGGCCTGTTCATTTCCATTAAATGTGTATAAAGACACGGTGAAGATAGAAATATTTTTGGAGCACCTTTCCAAAATCTTTTAGTCACCTTAGTGCAACAGCTTGGAGGGGGACCGTGTTAAGATTCTTTTTGTCCCAGAGAGGAAGTGGTGATGGTAGGTTCTCCCTTTATGCTTTCCAGTTTAGCCTGACCTCTTTTGGTTTTTCATCAAATTCAGCGGGTTGATCACTAGAAAGAGTCTTTTTCCTTCTTTTCTTACTCTCCCACCCCATCCTGATTCTCTGTTCCCCACTGAGATGAGCTTTTGATTTACACTCACCACCTCATTTGCTTTCAAGGGGCCCTGCGAGATAAACAGGACTACAGAGTTAATATTCCTTTTACAAATGTGACTGAGAGAAGTTAAGTGATTAGTCCACCTTTGTATCCTCAGATGCCAGACAATTGCATTTGACTTTTATTTTATGGCATTAAAGAATATTGAATTTTCTATCCTAGCCTTGATTTTGTCAAGTAAGACACTGATGATCTGATCACTTATTCCATTCTGCTTTTGGCTAAGGGCTTCTGGAGTTGATTGTAGGGGTTTCATGCATTCAAACAAGCTCCGGACATTATCATAGGCTGAATAAATTGATGTCTCCTACATGTGTGTTTTCAAATTGTGTGTCGATGCTATTGTTACTAATATAGTTAGTAATTCATTTAAAAGCTTTGCTGCATTCTTTTATCCCAATATATTTTCTCAATAAATGAAATTAACAGATACAGCCACTGCTGGGTCTATGGAAAATCTGGGTGCCTCTGACCTGGAGGATGAGTATTTGTAAGCCATCAGCCAAACTGCTACCTCGGAGGTACACTGCGGCTAAAATAGTCTGTTACAAAGCCACTGTTAATGCTTACCAATTGAAAAATATATGACCACTAGTAAGCAATACCTACAAGATGGAAGGAATCAAGTTCATAGCAAAGTTTAGCTGATACCTACAGAGCACTTACTATGTGCCAGGCAGTGTTCTAGGCCTTTTATACTTTTTGACTCATTTAATCCTCACAGGAATTAGGTACCATTATTATTTCCCATTGTACAGATGAGGAAAGAGTGGCTTTTCTTCAGAAACTCTTCAGAGAGTAAGTTCCTAGTTTAGTGCTTAAAGGACTTGGGAAAGTAAGGTCATAGTCTGAAAACTTGGACCCCTTCCTGGATTTTGGGGAGGAATATCTATACTTTAGAATTAAAAGAAATTCCTCCTGCTTTATTCTCTTCAGATTGTACCCTGGATATAGATCCCAGGTAGTAGTGGCTGAAAACCTTGAGGGTAGGATTGGGGGACTCTTGATTCTCCATCCCAGAGGCTGTAGCTGAACTCAGTTTAGCCCCTACAAAGTAGAGCTCATCAGCTGGGATCCTTTCACTAACATGAGAGAGCCTGATTTGGGCTCCTCCTGGGCATGATGTTCACTAGAAAAAAGTTACAGAAGGCCGGGCGCGGTGGCTCACGCCTGTAATCCTAGCTCTCTGGGAGGCCGAGCCGGGCGGATCGTTTGAGTTCAGGAGTTCGAAACCAACCTGAGCAAGAGCGAGACCCCGTCTCTACTATAAATAGAAAAATTAATTGGCCAACTAATATATATAGAAAAAATTAGCCGGGCATGGTGGCGCATGCCTGTAGTCCCAGCTACTCGGGAGGCTGAGGCAGGAGGATTGCTTGAGCCCAGGAGTTTGAGGTTGCAGTGTGCTATGATGATGCCGCTAAACTGTACCCAGGCGATAGAGCGAGACTCTGCCTCAAAAAAAAAAAAAAAAAAAAAAAGTTTAAAAAAAAAGTTACAGAATAAGGAAGGAGAAAGGGGTGATGGAGTTTGACATTTTAACTTTGGAGGGGAAGTAATCAGTAATGCTGACATCAATCCTAAAGTACCTCTTTGATCATTTCTTTCTCCTGCTCAAGCATCTTTAAACATGTGCTTATATTGTAGTTAATAATAATAATTGTTATAATAACAATTGCTTCCACTTACTGAGTACTTAACTATTTACCTGGTCCTTTGCTAAGTGGCCTACGTGTATTGCTTCATTTAATCTCCACAGCCACCTTTTAAAATAGGATCTATTATTATCATCCTTATTTAACAGATTAAGGAAACTGAGTCTCAGAAGTTTGAGTAACTTGTCCAGGATCATTCGGCAAGTGGTAGAGCTACAATCCAATGCACATTTTTTGAAGGGTTGATACTCAAGGCATCCTATAACCTGCCACTTCCTTCCTTTACAGGTCTATCTCCTACTGTTCCACCATACAGGTTTTTTGTTCTAGTCAGAATGGTCTGTTCACCTTCCCCAAACCTGTTAGCTTTTTCCCAGGTCTGGGCTGAACTGCCCCTTGCACTCCCTAGACTAGAGTTTCCTAGTACCCCTTTAATAATCCTTTTCTCCTGCTCTCCTCGCCAATATCCTCTTTTGCTCCCATCCCTGTCATCAGGCAACCACTGATTTGCTTTGTAATTTTAGATAGTTTGCATTTTCTAGAGTTTGATATAAATGGAATCATACTGTGTGTATTCTTTGTATCTGGCTTCTTTCACTCAGCATACTTATTGTGAGATTCATTCATACCGTTGCATGTATTGGTAGTTTATCCTGTCATGGTTGATTTTTTTGAGGGGTGTTGCCCTGGTTCCTTGGGTCCTGGCTCTGAAGAATTGCAAGCTGGGCTGGTGGGACAGAATGATGACAGACACGAGCAACTCACACAAACAGCTTTTATTGCTGGCTTTTTAGTACAGAAATAGAAAGGATGTTTCCTGAGGGGAAATGGGTCTATTTCTGAAGTGGAGAAGATGCTAGGGTCTTACCACATGTCTACTTTTGTGTCTATATCTTATGATATGCTAAATAGTGGATAGAATATTCATTATTTCTCTGGAAAAAGGGTGGAGAGTTCTTAGAGCTAAAGGCCCTCCTCAATTTTATCTTTATAGGGTAACTTTCAGGGGTTGCCATGACAATTGTGAAATGTCATGGCACTGATGGGTGTGATTTTTACTGTCAATGCGGGAAAAAGTTACCTCTGGGCATGAGCTCCTAGTTTTTGTGCATGCTCCTGGCCAGGATAAGTCCCTAACCCCAAGTTCCTGCTGTTCTGGGTTTGGTTCTAAATGCTCATTGACTTCCTCATTTTTGCCCCCCTCCTCTTTTCCTGTCATTAGTACTGCCAACCTGCACCTGTCCCTAACAATCCCCCTCCTTATTTTATTTTTTTTTTCCTGAGTAGTATTCCATTTATGTCTACACTATCATTGTTAATCCATTCACCTGTTGATGGATAGTTGGGTTGTTTCTAGGCCTCCACCTATTTTTTATTTAATTAGAGATGCAAGTCTTGTTATGTTGTCCAGGCTGGCCTTGAACTCCTGAGCTCAAGGAATCTTCCCACCTTAGCCTCCCTAGCAGTTGGGACTACAGGCCCAAGTCACCATGCCTAGCTCCTTCTCCCACTTGTTAATTTACTCCAACTTTGGGTCATGCTGACCTTAGTTGGGAAGGAACTCAGATGGGGGGATGAGATAGATACACGAATATTTATTCTATTCAAGTGGGAGAAAGTGTTTGGATTTCACCTTTGCTCTACTCAGTTTGAAACCATTCTAATCCTTCTACAGCACAGATCTGACCTCATCACCCCACTGCTCACGAATCTTCAGTGGCCTGCTTCACTACCTCCAGCTTGGCCTTCAAAAGGAAAAAATAAAAGTAAATGTGAAACTTCAACAGCAATTCTTACACCATATTTGGTTTCACAATGTCATCCAAAGAGTCCTGTGCTTTAAAAGGGATGCTATCATAGCTCACAATATGGCTCATTAGTAACTCTGACAAAGGGAGTGGGCCTGAAGGGCAGCTCTCTTTGTGTTTCAGAAACTGACCCTTAACTAAGAGACTGTCCCAGTGACTAGGGAGACTAGGTTTAATCATTCATTTAATACGTGTGATTGAAAATCTGTATCTACTAATTTTGTAAATATTTATTATCAATATTATTAAATTCTATAAGAAGGGCATTCTGGGACAATTTCCCCTTCTCTGACTCCTAAGCATTTTTAGACATGTTCAAAGATGAACAGAATAGAGTGGCTTTTGCTTCCTGGACTTTTAGTGGCTAAAGGGGAGGACAGATATTATAGCAGTGACAAGTATTACAATGGGGGAATATAGAGCGTAAAGGAGGGAGTCCTAATTTAACATTGGTGAGGTCAAGGAAGGCCTCCCTGAGGAAGGGACTTTAAGGATGAGGCCTGCCAAGCCTGGGAAAGAAAAATGTTCCAGGCTGTGGAAAGAATGTTCCAGGCAAAGGCCTGGAGAACAGTGGAAAAGATCATGCTCAGAGAAACAGAAGAACTGTAAGAAATCTGGTATGGGCAGTGTTTAGAGGCCAAGGAGGAAAGTGCAGCAACATGAGGTTATACAGGTAGACAGAACCAGATCTTGCAAGATTAGACCAGATATATGTAGACTGACTTTAAAGAACCCAGTCAGGTCCTAGGCTAACTTGACCATGGGAACAGAAAGGAGCTGAAGGGCACTAAAAACAGAAAAGTCAAAATCTTGGAGGTGATATGGTCTGTGTCCATTAAGCACTCTCTCTCTCTCAGGCAGATGGCACCAGACCCTCAAATGCGTGTCTGTTCACTGTAATGGGGCTTCCCTTAAAGTGGAAATGGCTGTATCAGGCTAACCAGGCTGACACCAGCCACCATGGTCACCTGCCTCTGTGTGCTGCAAGTAGCCTTCTCATTATATTTAAGAATTTGGCTTCTGTGAGCACTGCCTCTGTGGAGCAATGGGTGGGTCAGTGGACCTGAATATACATGCTCTTTATTTATTTATTTTTTATTTATAAAGGAAAAAATTTATTTCTCACAATTCAGGAGCTGGAAAGTCCAAGAGCATGGCATCAGCCTCTGGCAAAGGTTATACCCTGGTGGAAGGGCAGAAGACAGAAGTGAGCATGTGAGACAGTGAGAGGGTTGAATATGTGCCTTTAGATAGTTATCATCTCTCATTGGAAATTAAGACCATGGTTTGGATCCATTAAAGTATAGAAAAAGAAAAGAAAGAAAGAAAGAGAGAGAGAGAGAGAGAGAGAGAGAGAAGGAAGGAAGGAAGGAAGGAAGGAAGGAAGGAAGGAAGGAAGGAAGGGAAGGAAGGAAGGAAGGAAGGAAGGAAGGAAGGAAGGAAGGAAGGAAGGAAGGAAGGAAGGAAGGAAGGAAGGAGAGAAAGAGAGAAAGAGAGAGAGAAAGAGAGAAAGAGAGAAAGAGAGAAAGAGAGAGAGAAGACCATGGAATCTGGAATCAGACTGCCTCAGACTGAATTTCAATTTTTTCACTTGCTAGCTATGTGATCTTGGACAATTTCCTTAATCTTTTTGTGCTTCAGTTTCCTTATCTGTACCTTGTGTATAATAAGAATACATAGTAGACCAGGTACTTATGAGGATAAATATGTCTAAGCACTTAGAACTGGGCCTGGCATGTAGTAAACACTTGGTAAATATAAACACTATGGCTGATAATGATTATGATTAACGTTTGGGCATCTGTCTCTTGGGAGTCTGGTCAGTGGGGGCTAGCCCCTCAGACTCTTCTACCTCTGGCTTACTTACCAAATAGAATTTCTATTTTTTGTAGAGGCCACATGGCTGAGGGCCAGAGGCTAGAATGGAGTGATCATAGACCTGGATGACCGCCCTGAGAACCTGGCTGAGTAGTCATCAACCTTTAGTCTCCTTTCTCATCTCTTCACATTGGAGTAAAATATAGTAAGTACAAACACCTTCTTAGCATTTAAGACAAAATCTAAGTGGTAACTGAAGAGCAGAAGGGAAAATAGCAATCAAAGAAACACAAACAAAACTCAAAACTTGGATGCAGAAAGTTTGATCATGAGCTTAAAGCTTGTCCCTGAGCTTCCTGGCACCAAAGTCATGCAGGGCCCTTGATAGTCTGGAAAGGAACCACTGTCTGGTAGGAGGAAGCATGCTGAGGTATCAGGGAACAACAACTATTTGCTATGTGGTGTACCATGAGATTTTGAGAGAGATTGTGAGATTCACAATCAAATAATAAATTGGCCACATGTAAAAGTTTAATAACCCAGTGCTGGTTAGGGTTACAGAAATAGATAGGTACTCTAGTATTGTTAGTAGGAGAAGAATTTAGTGCAAACATTTTTGTGGGTTATTTAGCAATAACTATAAAAATTCACTTTTTACATGTAAACAAAAAATCAAAATCCCTAAATGAAAAACTATGATACTTATACAGGGATGTTAAATAGTAGTTATAAAAAATTACATATTTTTAATCCTTTTTTTTTTTTTTTTTTTGAGACAAGTTCTCCTTCTGTTGCCCAAGCTAGAGTGCAGTGGTATCATCACAGCTCACTTCAACCTCAAACTTCTGGGCTCAAGCTATCCTCCTGCCTTAGCCTCCTGAGTAGCTGGGACTACAATCATGCTACCATGCCCAGCTAATTATTCTATTTTTTGTAGAGACAGGGGTCTCTACCAGCTTAGGCTGGTCTTGAGCCGAACTCCTAGCCTCAAGCGATCCTCTTGCCTCAGCCTCCCAGAGTACTAGGGTTATAGGTGTGAGCCATTGTGCCTGGCCTATTTTTAATTCTTTTGAAATTTTTTTTTATTTTGGCTGTTTGGAGATGTCAGGGATTGAATGTATTTTTAATTTTTGACAGCTGAGAAATTCAAACATATACAAACTGTTGTCTCTGAATCCAACAATTATGAACTCAACCATTCCACGTCATTTTGAAAGAAATCCCAGAAACCATATTATTTTATCCACAAATGTTTTCTTATGTATCTCTAAAAGATATGAACTGCAATACTAAATCACATCTAAAACAAGTAACAGTAATTCTTTAATTCATTTACTATCCAGTTAGTGTTCAAATTTTCAATATCAACCTATGTGTCATATCTTTTAGAAAAATACTTTGTAAGAATCTGAATGCAAAAGAGTTTTATAGGGCAGGTGGTGCAAAGGCAATTTATATGACCAAAGCGCTTGTATGCCCATAGTTTTCTGAAATTAAAAAAAAAAAAAAGTTTTACATATTATGATTGGTTAATATGTCTTAACTCTCCTTTAATATGTTTCCTGTATATCTCACTTTTCTTGTAACAATTTTATTGAAGAAACTGAGTTGTTTTTCCAGTAGTTTCCCAGTCCGGATTTTGCTGATTTCCTCCCCATGATGTAGTTTATTATGTTTCTCTGTCCTCAGTATTTTCTTTAAGTTGGCAGTTAGAGGATTGATTAGATTTAGGTTCATTTTTTCACCCCGTGGCAAGATGACTTCATAGGTGGTACTATTTTTTTCTATCAAGAGACATGTAATGTCTAGCTGCTTCTCTTTGTGATAACCGTGGCGGTTGATTCTCAATGCTTAGATCCATGAATTCATTAAAGATTGCAAAATGATGATATTCTATCACTCCTCCTTCATGTGTTAGGTGGAATACTAAGTATTATTTTTAATAGTAAATATCTAGAAACTACTTACATATCTATTAGCAGGCAGCAGTAAAGTGGTAGGATCTCTTTTGGTATAAATAAAAAAGGATATGCATGTTTTAGTATGTATGCACTGCTATTAAAGTAATTTTCTGGAATTTCACACAACAGAATGAATAATAGTGGCTACTCCTAAGGAGAAGAATTTGGTTGGCCCAGAGGGTAGCTTTTACTTTTTCTTTTATATCTTTCCATACTGTTTAAATGTATGATCAATGTGCACTTAAAAATATTGTCTGCAGAGGTTATGAGGGTGGTGTGATTATTGGCTATTTAAAAACACCCCTTAGTGCTATGAGAATATTTCAGGGAAAATAATGTATTTCAAAATACCTATCCTGGTGCCTGGCACCTATTAGACTGTCAATACATTTTAGTTAATTCTAAAAAACAGTTTAAAATAATCTTCAACAATACAAACAGCAATCAACTTAAACTAACAGCAACAACTACAACAAAAACTCCAAAAGTACCTGGGGCTTATGGGCTTACATATGGGTCTAGGATTGGGACTCCACTTTTCCCAATCCTATCAGAAAAAAAATCACTAAAGTTGCGAATATGTGCTGTGTAGGAAGCATTCTCCGGAGTGATTTTCCTGACTAGTCAACTTCACTAATGATGCCTCAGGCACAGACTGGGTCATGAAACAGGCCAGGGGAGCCAGTCAGGCTCTTTAAGGAGGGCTGGGTCAGGGAGGGATGTGAAACCAGGTAGACATAGGAGTTGATAGAACTGGCCCAGGGGGGTTGTTGTAGGTTCTTGAGTAAGTCAAGAGCAAAATTTTGGGAAAGTTATTCTGACCTCTGTATCTTTATTCTGACCGAGATGTGCAAGATAGACTGAGGAGGAAGAATACAGGAAACTGGAAACCAGTGGGGAGGCCATTCCAACCTGTAATGAAGTCTTAGACAAGCATAGAGACAGCAGGAGAAAAGATAAAAGCCATGTTTTGGAATGAATGAAGGAGGCAAAAGAACATATTAGTTTTCTATTGATGTGTAACAAATTCCCACAAATTAAGTGGCTTAGGACAATACTCACTTATTATCTCACAGTTTCTGTAGGACTGGGCATGGCATAGTTGGAGTCTTTGCTTAGAGTCTCACAAGACTGAAATCAAGGTGTCAACCAGGCTGC